CCTGTGCCGAATTTCCCCCCTTGCTAATCTTTTAATGTGGAATATATTAAGTTGTGATGTATTGTAAGTTAATTCTTAATAAGAACACGGGAAGTATAAATTAAGTGATTTGTAGGCGGGGTTTTGTGTTATGGTTTGTTTTCTGTCTATGAGCGAGAGAAAAAATAATAACAAATCAACAGATTGCTAAATAAGTTGTGTAAAGAAGATGTAGTGTCACATTAACAACTTGTTTTTTTAAATGTAGTTTTAGACATTCTGTTATTTTACCAAAAGTGAGAGAAACTTTAAATTGTGAACTTTTTAAATGGAGTCTGGTGTGGAGTTTGTTTCCGGCTGTTTGAGCTCTTTAACTGATTCAACTGTTTAACCAGAAACTCTGTGGACAGTCTGACAGATGTTTAAAACATCAGCTCAGTGGACTAACTGAACACAAACACATCACCAAGAAGTCTGAGCTCGGTCCCGATGCTAGCTGAGTTAGCCTCTCGTCCTGCGTTAACAGAAGTCCATTTGAAAAACAGCTGATTTTAGAAAACAGAGAGAGACTCACGGTGAGCTGCGGTCTCTATCAGACTCTGCATGCGGCTCTTATCGTTCGTGTAGCTCAAGTTTAAATCCATAAACACAGACATGATGCTGCTGACTGCCGCTCACTGATCTCCAAACACACGTGTGGAGCCGCAAGGCCTGACGGGAACTGTAGTCACCCCATGTAAACAACCGTAGGCTACGCTAGGCAACTTGGAAGTCTGATCGTGTTTATTACATATTACTTCTTTTTTAGCTCAATATCAACTAAGAAGTTGTATCTCATGTAAGTGTGTATATATATATATATATATATATATATATAGTAACTAAAACTATTTTTAAAGGTGATTTATTTAACTTGATCTAACTTAATATTCGTAAAGTGGCCACTAGAGGGCAGAATCATGCCAGCTGCCCGATATCAGAGAAGAAGAAGAAGAAGAAGAAGAAGAAGGTCAGAGCTCTGTGTGAAGTAGAAGCAGCTGCAGGTATCTGACAACATACACACACACACACACACACACACACACACAGTATACAAAACATTACATATTTTGTAACACACACCTTGGTGATGGTGATTTGGAGATGTGCGGTTTCCAACCAAACCCCATTTTAAAATCTGTCACATTCCTGATCTATTCTCTTCGGTACATAACAGTCACTGTGACCTCTGACCTGTTATGGATCCTGACTGTTATCGGTTTACTTCTCATCCGGTTTAAAACTCAGGTCCAAATAAAGAGAAAGTCAAGAGTTAATGATTGTTTTCACCAAAGCTAATATGAAGAATAACTCAGTGAATTGAAGATCTTTTTCAGTATTACTGTTTGATAATTGCAGCATGTCTAGCGAAATATGCGCCGAAGTAAACAATGCAACGTGGAGTCTTAGATGTATGTTAAATTATTCTGTTATAAGCTGTAATAAGAATGAAAATCATAAAAAATTCTAAAATGACGGATTCTAAGGGGGGTTCGGCATTATTGCCTCATCACACACTGGACATTTCCTGACTTTTCCTTGTTGTTCTCATCCTTAAAGGTGAATGTCTATGTTCAGTTTCTCTTAGTTGATCTACATGTTTATTCTTTGTCCTGAAGGTGGCGCTAAAGGGACTTAATGTTTTATGTCATGTGTTCTCAGAGAGCGGAGTGAGTCCAGTCCAGTTCAGCCCGTTTCATACTGGTTGAGAGAGGGGGCCATGTTTAGACCTCTGAAGATCGTCCTCTTTGCACCAAAATGTCTCCAGACCCGACGATGCTCAGGCTTCGTCTCCAGGATGAGGTACAGAAACTGCAATTGTTGTTGGTTGGATGGTTGGTTGGATGGTTGGTTGATTGGTTCGATGGTTGGTTGGTTGGTTGGTTGGATGGTTGGTTGGATGGTTTATTGGTCGGTTGGATGGTTGGTTGGTTGGTTGGTTGGATGGTTGGTTGGTTGGTTGGTTGGTTGGTTGGTTGGTTGGTTGGTTGGTTGGATGGTTTATTGGTCGGTTGGATGGTTGGTTGGTTGGTTGGTTGGATGGTTTATTGGTCGGTTGGATGGTTGGTTGGTTGGTTGGTTGGTTGGTTGGTTCGATGGTTGGTTGGTTGGTTCGATGGTTGGTTGGTTGGTTGAATGGTTTATTGGTAGGTTGGTTGATTGGTTGATTGGTTGGTTGGTTTGATGGTTTGATGGTTTGTTGGTTGGTTTGATGGTTGGTTGATTGGTTGCATGGTTGGTTGGTTGGATGGTTGATTGGTTGGTTGGTTGGTTCAATGGTTTGTTGGTTGGTTGGTTGGTTTGATGGTTGGTTGATTGGTTGGGTGATTGGTAGGTTGGATGCTTGGTTGGATGCTTGGTTGGTTGGTTGGTTCAATGGTTTGATAGTTGTTTGGTTGGTTCGATGGATGGTTGGTTGGTCGGTTGGTTGGTTGGTTGGATGGTTGGTTGCTTTAACAATTCATTTATTGAATATCCTCTCAGGTATTTGAACAGGCTGAAGGAGGATGATGAAGCGTGTGCTGCAGCGCTGCAGGACGCTCACATTTTTCTGTTCCATCGTTTGTCTCCTCTTCTCCAACCCAACGGGAAAGGAACCTTCACACCAGCAGTACTCACCTGCCCAGGTACACAAGCACAGAGCAATAGAACCACATAACCAACCAGAGCACAGGTTTACTCATGTCATCTTTAAGGGGTACAGATACATGGGGAGAGAACCACAGGTGGATAACCTCAGACTAAAAACTGTTTCTGGTTTTATATTTCAGACGTTCAGTCCATCCTGGAAAGACTCGGCTCCGACCAAACCCTGCTGAAGGAGTCTGTTCTGATTGGCTGTTCAGAACAGAAACAGGCTCAGTTCTGTCTGGATGTTGGTGAGAACACTGATTGTTAAATGATAAACACTGTAAACTCTGTACAGTGTACTGAGACCCTGAATGCACCGGTCTACATGGACTGTGGGTTTAAATGTTCTGTATTTCTTTCTGCAGGAGATCTGGATCGGGCAACAGTAGAAGAAGAGTTTAAAGGAAAGTTCATCGATCTGAGGAAAGCTTTCTTTCTCCTGAGGGAAGCAGAGGCACCCCTAGTGGCCAAGGTGTGTAACTCCCTCAGTACACTGTGCGTCCTCCAGGTGTACAGGATGTCTTAACAGTTTGGTTTCTGGTCTCCAGGGTCAGGCTCTGCTGCGCTGGCATCAAACAAGCAGATTCTGCAGCGCCACGGGTCAGCCCACCACAAGCAACCAGGCAGGAAGTCAAAGAGTCTGCAGCAGCAACGGGATTGTCTACTATCCAAAGGTAGCACAAATCCAAAATCCAATCGAAACAAGTATCAAAACCAGATCTAGACTACCCTAAAAACCAGCTCCAGTCTAAAGTTAGATTCAAACCAGCTTCAAAACATGCCCAAACTACTGGAACCAGATTTTAACTACAACACAGTCTGTATACAATAACTTTTCCTGATTCTTATTGGCTACAAACCAGATCCTAATTCTAATCAAAACCAGATATAAACCTTGTTACCTTGCTTGGGTCAGTCCTGGTCTGACTGTTTCTGATTGGTTCCCCCACCAGATGTCTCCGGTGGTGATCGTCCTGGTGTCCGATGGGAAACGTTGTCTGTTGGGCCGACAGCCGTCCTTTCCTCCGGGGCTGTACAGCGCTCTGGCTGGCTTCTGTGACATGGGTCAGACCTCCAGTCTCACCTTTCCACTGTCTGCTCGCCCACCCACCTGTACCTGCTCACTTTAAACTCACCTGTGGCCTCCTGTCCCTCTGTGGTGTTTTCAGGCGAGACTCTGGAGGAGACTCTGAGCAGGGAGTTGGCCGAGGAGGTGGGTTTGGAAGTCCACAGCGTCTCCTACAGCTCCTCTCAGCACTGGCCTTTTCCTCACAGCTCCTTCATGGTGGGCTGCCACGCCTCTGTAAGCCCCGCCCACTCTCAGGTGAGCATCCACACTCATCAAAATACAAAATAAATTTACTCTCAAAATTAGTTTTATTTATAAAGTTATAAATCCGTTTGATCACACTTTTTATTATCAGATTTATTTTGTCTCAAAAAATGTATCAGCAGTAATTGTAAAAAGGTAGAGGACCTAACGTTGAGCCCTGAGGTACACCTGAGCTGCAGGTGAGCAGGTGGAGCTTCCTGTTGTATTCAGCGATGTGTCCCATTACCTGCTGTTTTGTCGTCCAGTTAAAGGTGGATCACACAGAGCTGGAGGACGCTCGCTGGTTCAGTCTGGAGGAAATCACTGCCGCCCTGCAGGTGAAGACTCCGCCCAGGAAAGGGGATAACCCCGCCCTCTGGTTTCCTCCAAAACACGCCCTCGGCAACCACCTCATTGTTGAGTGGGCGGAACGCCAGAGACGCAGCGAGGATGGAGAGTAACAGTCAAACTGTGGACACTCTGAGGAGCTACTAATATCCTCCAAACAGCCAAGAATCATCCATAATGAGACTACAGTGTGTGACATCATGCAGGACTGGAGGTCACATGACGACCACGCCGATTAAGAAACTTAAAATCACTTACAGTTTATATGTTTGGACGTAAACAAACTTTTAAAAAAACTTTATAGTTCATCAAACTGACTAAATAACTTTGTTCTACTGTGACACAAAACGACTACCTCACTTTTTACTGACTCTGTTAGTGAGCTGATGTTGTTTCAATAAAACTGAAACGCCTCGTTTTTTATCAACTCTCTGATTGGTTCCTGCTGTTTTTTGTTTTAATATGAATGTGAGTGTGTGTATGTGTGTGCAGCATGTTCAACAACAGAGTGTAAAACTAAATTACAGGGATGATAGACAGAAATTAGGTCCTTGTGTTTTTTTATCGTATGCCAGAACTCTGATTCATACGGAAGAGGATTAGAGCCACACATTAAGAAAAAATAGAGTTCTGACTTTATTCTCAGAATTCTGAGAAAAAAGTCAGAATTCTGAATTTAAAGTTAGAACTACGGGTACCTGCAAGGACCAACTCTGGTGGATAGTCACTGTGCAGGACCGTGCAGGACTGACTAGAAAACCGTGGTATGCTTTGTCACTGCTGTGTGCACAGTTATAGTTTCATGATACTGTATTTTAGTTTTTTGAGTTGCAAGATGGTGTACCACCCAGGTGAAACTTTTGTGTAAACTACTATGGAATTGCTTAAACGAGTGGCCAACTTACTCTTCACCACATTTACATTTAGTTCTTTAGTTGAATGTTGATGAAGCCCCTTATTCCATATAGGTAAAAAGAGATAGGGTAAATAAGGTTTTAACACACGGTATTTTGACAATGTTACAAAGAATTTTATTATCATTCATATTGGACACAAATGTAAGAAAGATATTAGTCCGCTGGCATTAATGTTGAAGGAAGTGTGTGGACAATTATGAAATGCAAAATGAATAACATTCAGTCCTGCACAGTGACTATCCACCGGAGTTGGTCCTTACAGGTACCCATAGTTCTGAGTTTAAAGTCAGAATTCTGAGAATAAAGTCAGAATTCTATTTTTTTATTTTATGTGTAACCCTGATCCTCTTCCGTAGATTCACACTCAAGTCCAGCAGGTGGCGGTAATGCGCCTGAAGGCTGCTTTTTCTTTAACCGCCATAAAACTCAAAAGAAGACGAAGAAGAAGCACTTCCTCCAGCTGCTCGGTCTGTAGTTTGTTGTCAGCACAGATTCACGTCAGCCAGCTCCTGTCAGACTCTTTCTGACCTTTAAGTTTCAGTTAAATCCAAACAAACTGGCAGAGCTCGCTGTGTTCTCCGCACCGAGCGGGAGGATCAGCTTGAGTTAGCCCGAAAGGATGAGCTCCTCCGCGGCTCTGCACACCCAGCTGGCCGCCGTCATGGAGGCTCTGGTCCACGCGGCGGTGGCGGAGCTGGAGAGGCTGTCGGAGGAGGAGGAGGAGGAGGAGGAGGAGGAGGAGGAGGAGGACACCCTGAAGGTCCGGACCGGGACCAGCTGCTCCGGGAGCGACGACAGGCCGCCTCCGGTGGACCACAGGCGGGATAAGAGCCGGGAGAAGACGGTGAGGAGTGGAGGGGCCGGAGCAGGAAGTCTGGATGAAATAAGAAAGAGTTATAGGATTAATGTTTTTATTGTTTTTAACATTTATGGTTATTCTTATCTCTGAGGTTGAACTATTAAATCATGTTTTCAAAGTTTACAGGAGTTTAGGCTCTATTAGTTTATTTTTAATTCGTTTTGATATTTGTTTTTAGTTTCACTTTCGTTTTGAGTTTTTATTAATTAATTTTAATATTTTTTAATTAATTAATTTTGTATTCATTTATTGAGTTTTTATTAATTATTAATATTTCTGGAGGCTTTTTATGACTTTATTGTAGAGATAAGACATTGGACTGAGCAATAAACCAGGGAGTGAGAGTGTGGGAAACGACATGCGGTTAAGGAGCCCTAGTTTGGGCTCGAACCCTGGGCCGCCTGCTTTCGAGGACTTAAGCCTCTGTACATGGAGCGCGCGCTAACCGCCAAAACTATTCGGGAGGGTCTCGCCTAAAGCATCGTATTTTGAAGCAGTGACCCACTGACACAAACTGCTGTTATGAAGAGTTGTGAGCAGGAGACGGTGGTATCCATACGAGGCTGAGCGCACCCTTTTATTTAATGCTGGTTTGTTAGTTCTAGTTTGTTGGAGGATACTTGTCAGGGGCGAGACTCGTAAGAGCCAGAACATAAAAAATATACAGGTTGTAAAAGAGAAGCAGGTGTGAACGATCTGATTCACTGTTCCATCGGATCGAAATAACCGGGTTCTCCCTCGTGTGTTTATCGTCTGTCCCCGTGGCGTGCTCAGGTGTTGTTCGCGTCGGTCATGGAGACTCTGGGGAACGAGGCTCTGGGGAAGATCATGAACATCGTGGATGAGGCGGGACTGCAGCCGGAGCCGAGGAGGAGGGGCGGCCAGAGACCCCAGACCAGCATCCTCAACATCCTCAACAACGCACGAGTCGGTACGTACGCAAGCCCCCCCCCCGAATCAAAACACTCCAGTCGGAGAGATACAGCGTTGATGATGCCATACTGACAGTTGCTATGTTGTCACAGAGGTCGAGCACTCGTACGGAGTCAGACCGGAGAGCTCTGAGATACAAACCTCCTCTCAGGTAAGAACCCTGCTCACTCACCTCTTCACCGGTGGTGCGTTCACTGACCCCCGACTGATGTCTATATTTTTGTGTCACTGCAGACCAAACAGGAGGAAGCGGCAGACGGAGCGGAGAACCCGTTCGTCCCGGCGGTCACCATTAAAGACGAACACGGGAACATTGACCTGGGAGCCATCGCAGAGAGTGAGAGAACGATCGATGACTGAGTTTATTTTTACATTTTAAATCCTCGATTTGATTCTAGTAAAAATCAAATGATTTATCTAAACCTGTTTGTTACCACGGCAACAACAAATTAACAGTGCACCTGCAGGTTTTGATGGATCCATTCCTCTCCTACACACCTGTCTTATGAAACAGAGTTTTTAAACTATCAGACCTGCGTTATTAATTGGATTTGAATCACAGGTTTTGACCACAATCAAAGAAACCTGATTGAAGATCGTTAAAGGAGCAGTATGTAACTCTGACCTAGTGGTTAAAATAGGCACTGCAGTCTAAATTCTGAACATCATAGAGAGCTGTCTCCCCCCCTCCTCTCTAGAGTGGATGCTCACACAGGTCACCATGTGGTGGACTCTGAAGCTTCAGTGTTTATCCAGCTCTGCATGGGTCTGTAAACCTTTCTGTGTTCTAACCTCTCTCCATTTTTCAAAAGCATCTCCAATATTGATCCTAGTTTGAGCACGTTTCTGCTCGTGGAGCTTATTAGAAACATGCAGAGGCTTTTTAGGTCGGGTACAATCACTTCTATCTGAACCACTTCTCTTGACCGCTTCCATCGCTGCAACACCTGTTGACCTGATAACTGCTCTCATATCTGACAAACCGAGGGGCGTCCAAAACGGCCGTGTTGGGGGGGTCGCCTGTCAGTCAGATATTTGAGTTCTAATTGTTTGTGTTTTTTTTTTATTTCAGGAGCTCGGGTTGAAGCTGCTTCTCCGGAGGAATCTGAGCCGCCGCATGAGGAGGCGGGATCAACCGAGTTTGTTCTGCAGAGCGTCACGTGGAAATACTTCTCGTGCACGTTGTGCGGTAAATCCTTCACGTCTCAGAGCAACCTAAAGTCGCACTACCTGATTCACACGGGCGAGAAGCCGTTCTCCTGCGGCGTGTGCGGCAGCTCGTTCCGTCAGAAGCAGAGTCTGCAGAGCCACGCCCGGACGCACACCGGCGAGCGCCCGTACGCGTGTCTGCAGTGCGGGAAGCGTTTCTCCAAACAGACGCAGCTGAAGACGCACGCCGTCGTCCACACCGGGGAGAAACCGTTCGGCTGCGATGTGTGCGGCAACCGCTTCAACTTGCTGCAGAACCTGCATCGCCACGCGCACACGCACACCGGCAAGAAGATCTTCGCGTGCAACGTCTGCGGGAAAGGCTTCACCCGCGCCGTCACGCTCAAAACGCACAAGCTCATCCACACCGGGCAGAAACCGCTAAAGTGCGAGCAGTGTCCGAAGACGTTTCGCCACGCCGTCAACCTGAAGAACCATCAGAGGATCCACACCGGCCTCCGCCCGTTCGGCTGCGACCTCTGCGGGAAAACGTTCCGCCAAGCCGTGAACCTTAAGATCCACCGCAGGATCCACACCGGCGAGCGCCCGTTCGGCTGTGAGGAGTGCGGGAAGACGTTCGGCCAGCAGAGCAGCCTGATCACGCACCGACGCACGCACTCCAAGGAGCGGCCGTTCTCCTGCAGCTGCTGCGACAAGGCGTTCAACAACGCCAACAGCCTGAAGCTTCACCTGCGCGTTCACACGGGCGAGAAGCCGTACGCCTGCGACGTCTGCGGGAAAACCTTCAGCCAGAGCAGCCACCTGCGGACCCACAAGAGACACATGCACGCCGGCGGCAAACAGTACATCTGCGACAAGTGTGGCAAGAGATACTCGGACCAGCGCAACCTGAAGATGCACAAGTGTGTCTACGCGTGAACGAGCCGGCAGCCATGTTGGATCTGACGGGCCGTCGCAGTTTCCTAAATCTCAGAGAAAATCTCAATACTTGAATGTCATGAACCAACAAGTGTTTAATGAAAGAAACTACTTTATTTTTTTGAATCTTGAAAATGGTGGCAGGTGTTAAACAGTTGGGATCTCTTCGACCAATCAGAGCTAAGCATCGTTGAAGTGGGTGTAGCTTCTTGGTCAAGTGGTCAGAGTGGTGCTGATCAAGCCCTGCCCAGGGAAACCCTGCACTGTGATTGGTGAATGTATGAATTTAAATGTTTACAAATAATGTTGTTGTTTTTTTATAATCTGAGAGATGAATATTTTCTATTTGAGATATAAAAAAAATCTGAAAAACAGCAAATTTGTGTGATTTTATTCTCCACTTTCACCGTTAATTATTTTATGATTTTATCAAAATCAGAAATATAAACCGCTCAACACGTGTGTGTTATTTACATATTTATAAACAGCTCTGCATGTTGATGTTTAAAGGTTTATATTAGTCTCAATGTGCAGGTGAATTAAGTTACCTAATAAAAAATAAACCAGTGAGGATTTATATAGAAAAACTAAAGGAAAGAAAATACAAATGTATCCAATAATTCAGCATTTTATGTTGTTTTTCTTCCTTTTCCCTTTGAAAAGTATATTTTAACAATTAAATGTATTTATTTTTTATTACAAAAAATAAAAAATATATATATAATAAAAATATAAAAAGAATATATATATATAATTAGATATATATTAAATATTAATAATAATTAAAAATATATAATAAATAAAAAAAACATTTAATTGTAATAATTAAAATATAAAGAAAAAGAAAACATAAAATAAAATGCATCGTATTTTAATAAATCGTGAATATGGTTGTATTTGTAGCTTTCTTGTTAATTAAATTTAAGACAAACGTAATTTAATCTCCAGTCCCGTAATCGTCTGACGTCAGGTTGACGTAGCCGGCTACGTAACACAAAGCGAACATGGCGCCTCTCCTGCCTAAGCTCACCTGTCACTGCGGAGGATGAGAATAACCCGGGGATAAGAGGTTGAGAACAGCGGCCGGACACAGCGCCTCTCCGCCGGCCTGAGGGCTCCGTGTCCCGGCATGACGCTCCGGAGGATCCCGCTGTCTGTTCACCGGGGAGGAGGAGCCGAAGCCGGGTTTGTTTCTGTCGAGCGGCGCTGACAGAAGATCCGGAGAGGTGAGATATTAACGGTGTACGTTACCGACGACAACAGCGACAGTCAGCGGGTCATGCACCGAAAAGTCGCAGATAAATACGATATTACCTGTAGGTTACAATAACACCTGAGTTGTTCAAGTGTAATAGAAAGACCTTCAAAATAAAACTCGAATAATGTGCTTTATTCTCAGCAGCTTTGTGTCGTTGATGACGGAGTGAAATGGAAAAGGCAGGAGATGTGTCCTCCTCACCTGTGACTGTAAACAAGGAGTCTCACCTGTGCCTTCATCGTCATCATCCCCTGAACTCTAATGATGTCATCAGCCAGCGGCGTCCGCAGGTCACGTGTTCAGGAGACGGCGAGGAGGCTGGCGCGTCCATCGCTTTGTCACAGTGTGCGGATGTCATCTGCTTCAGGTCGGACACTCAAGGACCAATCGGATGCTGCTGTGATGTCAGAGAGGCAGGTGAGGAGCAGGGGGCGGGGCTTAGTCTGAGAGGTGATGTCTCCCAAACAGACGGGATTAGTCCAAACGTGGTCACTACCGGTTCATCCTGCACAGACGGGTTAAACGATAAGAGCTGTCACGGACTGGATGGTGATGGTACCTGTGGGGGCGGGGCTACAGGAGGCACACACCTCCACCTGGATGAGCCCTCCTCACCTGTACCTCCACCCAAAGCGTCAGACTCCGACCCTGACACTCTGGAAGATGGCAGCTCCGATGACGAGGCCTTCATCACGGATCGGGCGCCGCCCCCGCCAGGTGAACCGAGCCTCCCTGCAGCCTCGGCTGTCCCTCGCTCCGGGAACACGTTCGAGTGCGTCCGCAGACAGAGCGCCCCGAGCGAGCTGGTTCAGGACGACGGAGGGTCAGAGTCTGAGCTGCAGTCGAGGAGGCCGGGCATCGTCGAGTACTTCAGCAGGTGAGTCAGACAGACAGGTGATCGATACTAGACTGAAAACACTGTTAATGTGGATACTGCTGTGGAGCCCCCTGGTGGATGTAAGAGGAATGACACTGACAACCCGTCCTGTCCCCGTGTCCACATACTTTATTTTTCTGAGCGCCAGCGTCTTTTTTTCAATTGTTTTCAATGAGTAGAGAGAGTTAGCAGCAGAAAGCGGCCGCCATCTTTAATTAAAACTTTAACACTGTGTGTGTGTGTGTGTGTGTGTGTGTGTGTGTGTGTGTGTGTGTGTGTGTGTGTGTGTGTGTGTGTGTGTGTGTCACAGCAGGAAGCAGCGGTCCGTCAGTCACAGCGTTGCGGGCTGGAAGCTGTTCGGTAAAGTTCCTCCCAAACAGAGTCCGTCCAAACAGCCTAAGATCATCCAGCAGGTAACGACCGCCACACACAATCTGCGTTTTTAAATAAAACTACAAAAAAAAAAGAGAAACTACAGAAATAAACAGGAACTGAAACCTGAGTCTACAGCGGAGGTACCAGAGGCGGAGCTTAGTTCCTGTAGGACCGTTTTACAAACTCGCTTTTTACTTGGTGTACACAAACGCATGACCTCAGCCTCGTGTCGTTGGATGTTCACGTCTCGGCGCCCTCAGACGCAGTATGCACATCACCACTAGGGGCAGTGTGGAGTTGTATGGTGATGAGACCAGAAGTGACATCATCAGAGACACCAACCAGAGAGCCGCTGGAACAATGGAGGAAAGTTTATTAGAAAAGTAAACAGATCAAGTCTCCGTCTACCCGCGCTGTGATGCGTCATGGCTGTTGCATAGCAACAAACATGCGTCTGCGGTCTGATTTTTGCAGAGCTCCCTCTAGAGGAATCCTCCAGTAACACGCGTTGTACAGAGGCAGGTAGGTCGTCTACGAGTACGCGTGGTTAAATTGGGCTTTGATGGGTGGGTCTCACTTTTGGAGACGGCCTCAAGTGGCCAGTCGAAGAACTGCCGTTTTTGGGGGGATTTTCATCTCCAGTCTTCCGCCCTGGATGATGCAGTTTATGAGAAATACCAACATACTCACACAGCAGATCAGTTACAGTTTAAACACAGCAGCCCCTAGTGGACATCAGAGGAACTGCAGTTTTTGTTCTTTCACTTTTGGTTCCATTTTTAAAATCTATATTTTTACACTTGCACATAAAAACATTCTCATTCCATTAAATAAGCAGTGACAGGTTTATCACAGCAGCCTCTAGTGGACATCAGAGGAACTGC